GACAGTTTTGGAGGAGAGAAGGTCGAGGGGTCAGGACAATAGGGACAGTTGTGGGGCAGAAGGATAGGGATTCAGTACAATAAGAGGGACAGTTGTGGGGCAGAAGGATAGGGATTCAGTACAATAAGAGGGACAGTTGTGGGGCAGAAGGATAGGGATTCAGTACAATAGGGAGGATAGGGATAGGGATAGGGATAAGGATAGGGATTCAGGACAATAACAGGGACAGTTATGGGAGAGAAGTGTGAGGATCTAGGACAATAGGGACAGTTGTCAGCACTGACTGAAGCCCCCTCCCAGTGGTTGCAGAGTTGCCGGCAGTCCGGGACTTGCTCGCGCTCTTCATTATTTTGCTCTATTTTTCTAGACGGACTCTGTTTGTTTTGTAACCTGTGTCGCTCAATCCAGGAACGCCGCTCGTCTGTGAGGGAGCTTTTCATTTTGTCCCCGCACACAACTCGGAATCAGGGAACGAATTCATCTCTGACAAACATTTACCGATTATCAAATCACAATGGCGAGCCCCAGACAGGGGCAATAAGTCACTTTAAGCAGCCATCCGGATTGCCGGGTGACACGTCTGGGTAGCCCGGCGATGACTAATCACTGCTGTCAAACTTGCGTGTTCTGCGGCCTTTCTGAGGGCTGTTCTCGGCTACCTGGTGTTTAATGACAATGCTGCCGGTAGCGCGAAGGGGGGCTGCGCGGCCTGCCGCTAACTGTCACAGCCCTATTAGAGGAAAGATTGAGTTCCTACTCTTTCTAAACTCACTCAACCAACACAAGGCAGTGGCTTCTGTAATTATTCTACAAGGGCCATCTATCGCCGTCTGACGTTTAACCTGTCTCTCGCAAATGGCCGAGGCCGGGGACGCGCACATGGCGATGGAGGATTCTTCGAGGGGGATGCAGTTAATGCAGCACGGTGCTGAAATGGGACACGTTAAATCACTCATAATATTGATCCCCCGTCAGGCACCAATATATGTGTTCTGCGGGCATTTCAATGTACAAATATGACATTAACGGCTCTGTCCATGGAAAAGTCTGGTATAGTTGGAGTCTAGCCATCTGACGCTTCTTGTACCTCATCTGACCCCC